GGGGGGGGGGGGGGGGGGGGGGGGGGGGGGGGGGGGGTGGGGGGAACGGAAGGCCTGGAGTAGGGTGGGAACCAGGTAGAGGGGAGCTACGGGGAACATCTGTAATAATCTGAACAATAAAGATTTTTTAAAAAACGTGAATTTCCTATTTGTGTTAGAACAGGGCTATCTTCTCAGATGCCTCCTGTTTGCTTGATCTCTAAGGCAGGGAAGGGAGGTGCCCCGTGAGAGCTGTACCTCTTCTGGAGACGGAAGGGTCCACTTCCACACCTTTTTCATAAGGGGTGCCACCGTTCAGGAGGAGCTCATAAGTCCTACAAAAGAAGGGTATGCTGTGACCGAGACCTGCGGTGGACGCCGGAGTCAATCCCTTTTCAGCACAGATATCCTTGCAGACATTTCTGTGTCACTGATGACTGATGACTGAGAATGGAAGCTGATCCTTCCGTGGGGCATCAGCTCAGGAAATAAGTTTCGTTCTTACCTATGAACCGTAGAAATACATTTTCCACATTAACATGAAAAAGATTATTAATGTCGTTAAAATGTTTTGAATCATCATTTGAAATAAAGCCAATATGGCCTGGGGGAGGGAATGCAAGGGAATGGGTGTGGTGGAGGGGTCAATGGGGGGAAGGAACATCTGTAATACTTTCAACAATGAAGATAATTTTTTTAAATAGCCAATATGAGTTTATCTGATTTTTAAAATATAAAAGTAATAAATAAATAAAATATAAAAGTAACATGCAGATTGTAGTAAAAAGTTTCAATGGCCTAGAAATAATAAGGAAAAAATGACAGCCACCTCCCTCCCCTCTAGTTTGGTAGTCCCTTGCCCTATCTTGTTCTATGCAAAGGCGAACAAATACATTCCACAATGAATCTCAAACTGAAGACGTTTTCTTTTTTTTTTCTTTTTTTTTTAAATATATTTTATTGATTTTTTACAGAGAGGAAGGGAGAGAGATAGAGAGTTAGAAACATCGATGAGAGAGAAACATCGATCAGCTGCCTCCTGCACATCCCCCACTGGGGATGTGCCCGCAACCCAGGTACATGCCCTTGACCGGAATCCCAACGAGCCAAACTGGCTTCGGCAAGACGTTTTCTTTTAAAGTTACAAACTGCCGAAGTGTAGAAGCAGGAGGCAGAAGGCCTCTCTAATCCTGCTACCAGTCCCCACTCCCGCTCCAGGGGCAGCCTTGGGAACAGTTCACATAAACCCACTCATGAAGGTGCACAAATGCAGCTCTTCATGGACCAAAGTGGAGTGACAGTGCACATCCTATCTTGCCAGTTGCTTTTTCATGTAAAAATATACATTGGAAATGTTTCTGTATTAATACAGAGGCCTCTGGCCTCCACCTCATTTAAAAAAATAGCTGTGATTTTAGGAAAGATTGAATAGACACACCATTCCTTCCTACCAAGTACAACTAAAACCCTGAACATTAATAAAAACAAAACCCCCCAAATCATAAGAAGCCTGGGCTTCTGCATCTACCGGGGGTAGGAGGGCCAGGGTAATAAAGTGCTCCGTCTCCTTCTGCCTGGTGACATCAGAGGACTAGCACAGTCAGGACTTCCACCTCTATCCTGCGGTAAGGAGGTTCCATCCACCCTGAGGTGTTAGCAGAGGTGGAGGGGGGAGCATTACCTGAATTAAACATTTGGGGTTAGAAACTATGATAATTCCCCATTCTAAAATTGGGGGAAACTGTGGCTTGGAGACTTACAGTTACAAGGCACAGCAGGACTAGAGCCCTGGATTTTATGGCATCTCATCATCCTCTTCCTGACTGCCCACCTGTATCTCTCTGTGAATTTCCTGTCTATATCCTAGACCCGTGGTCGGCAAACTGCGGCTCGTGAGCCACATGTGGCTCTTTGGCCCCTTGAGTGTGGCTCTTCCTAAGCCTTAGGAGTACCCTAATTAAGTTAATAACAATGTACCTACCTATATAGTTTAAGTTTAAAAAATTTGGCTCTCAAACGAAATTTCAATCATTGTACTGTTGATATTTGGCTCTGATTAATGAGTTTGCCGACCACTGTCCTAGATTTAGATTTACAGTATATGTGTATGTGCCCATTTTAAGGTTAGATTTCTATGTGTGTGGCCATTTTAAAGTTAGATTTCTATGTGTGTGCCCATTTTAAAATGTAATTGTCTTTGCCCTGTCAGTGGTTCAGTGGTTAGAGCGTCAGCCCACACACCAAAGGGTCACAGATTCCATTCCCACTCAAGGGCATGTACCTGGGTTTCGGGTTCATTCCCCAGCCCCAACTGGGGCACGTGCAGAAGTCAACCAACCAATGTATCTCTCTCACATCAATACTTCTCTCTCTCTCTCTCTCTCTCTCCCTCTCTCTCTCTCTCTCTCTCTCTCTCCCTTCTCCCATCCCTCCCTTCCTTCCACTTTCTCTAAAAATCAATGGAAAAAAATATCCTCAGGTGAGGATTAAGAAAAAAAAAAGAAAATAATACAATAATGAATAAATAATGCAAGAATCAATTGTTTTGCATATGCAACACTATAAACCTACTTTTCCCCATCCTGTATTATAAATATTTGCTACCAGTTTGCCATTTGGTCTTTTTTTTGCCATTTAATCACTTTTATTATTCAATTACAGCTGACATACAGTACTATATTAGTTTCAGGTGCACACACACCCCCACCCCAGTGATTAGACATTATACAACTTCCTAATTGATCATCCCAATATATCTCATACCCATCTGACAACATACATAGTTATTAGAATTTTATTGACTATATTTCCTATGCTGTACTTTACATCCCCATGACTATTCTGTAACAACCAATTTGTACTCCTTAATCCCTTCATCTTTTTTGCCCATCCCTCGGTCTCTCCTCCCATCTGGCAACCATGAGAGTGTTCCCTGCAACTATGAGTTTCTTTCTGTTCCACTTGTTCATTGATTTTGTTTTTTAGATTCAATTGTTGGTAAGTATGTATTTATTGCCATTTTATTATTCATTTTTTAAATCTTTTTTCTTCTTTTCTTAAAGAAAACCCTTTAATATTTCATACAATACTGGTTTGGTGGTGATAACTCCAACCTTTAGCTTTCTCTTGTCTGTGAAGCTTTTTATATGTCTTTCGATTCTAAATAATAGCTTTGCTGGGTAATCTTGTTGTAGGAACTTGCTTTTCATCACTTTGAATATTTCTTGCCACTCCCTTCTGGCCTGCAAAGTTTCTGTTGGGAAATCAGCTGACAGTGGTATAGGTTCTCCCTTGTAGGTAACTAACTATTTTTCTCTTGCCGCTTTTAAGATTCTCTCTTTGTCTTTAACCTTTGGCATTTTAATTATGATGTGTCTTGGTGTGGGGCTCTTTGGGTTAATCTTGTTTGGGACACTCTGTGCTTCTTGGGCTTGTATGTCTATTTCTTTCACCAGGTAAGGGAAGTTTTCTGTCATTATTTTTTCAAATAGGTTTTCAACTTCTTGCTCCCTCTCTTCTCCTTACAGCACCCCATGACGCGGATGTTGGTACACTTGAAATTGTCCCAGAGGCTCCTTACACTCTTCATATTTTTTTATTCTTTTTTCTTTTTGCTGTGTTTTGCTTCCTTATACTATTCCAAATCACTGACTTAATCTCGGCTTCCTCTACTCTATTGTTGATTCCCTGTAAATTTTTCTTCATTTCAGTTAGTATATCCTTCATTACTGACTGGTCCTATTTTATGGCTTCTAAGTCCTTTTTCATGCTGTTTAAGTTCCCACTACGTTTTTTGAGCATCCTTATAACCATTATTTTCTCTTAATTTGTTTGCTTGCCTCCATTTCATTTCATTCTTTTTCTGGAGATACCATCTATTCTTTCATATGGGACCTATTTCTTTGTCTCCACATCTTGGCTGCTTCCCTGTGTTTGTTTCTGTGTATTAGGTAGAGCTGCTATGTCTCATGGCATTGGTAAAGTGGCTTTGTGTAGTAGGTGTCCTGTAGGGCCCAGTTGCACAGCCTCCCCAGTCACCCGAGCTGGAAGCTCCAGGTGCACCTCTGTGCATACTGTATGTACTGTCCTGCTGTAGTTAAGCCTCGATTGCTGTTGGCATCACTAGGAGGGATTGATCCTCAGGCCAACTGACTGCAAAGACTGGCGGCGACTACAATAGAGGAGTTGCTATGCAGGAGCTAATGCAATAAAGCAGGACTTGCTTAAGTGGGGCTTTGGTGCTCACTGAGTCCACCCCTTGAGTGTGTCACTCGTAGAGGTGGTAGGGTTATAATTGGCATGGTCTGAAGCTGTCTGCTGGGTGCACTGGCTCTGGGGCCTCCCAGGAGGTGCAAGGTCGGCCACCACTTGTGCTCTGCCTGGCACCAACCAGCACAAGCTATGGATCTGCAGGTGGCTGCTACTTGTGTTGGGCTTAAAAGTCCCCAGGAGAGCCCTGACCGGTCTGTCTCAGTGAACAGAGCATGGATTGGCCTGCAGACTGAAGGGTCCCAGGTTCAATTCCAGGCAAGGGCATGTACCTTGGTTGCGGGCACATTCCCAGTGGGGGGTGTGCAGGAAGCAGCTGATCGATGTTTCTCTCTCATTGATGTTTCTAACTCTATCCCTCTCCCTTCCTCTCTGTATAAAATCAATAAAATATATTTATTTTTTAAAAGTCCCCAGGAGAGGCCAAGCTGCAAACCAAGACCAGCTGCCACTAGTGCCAGGCTTGGGGCCACTTAGCAAGAGGTATGGGACACACCAAGGCCAGATGCTGCCTGTCTGCAATTTGTGAACCGTTGAGAGACTTTAGGAAAGTCTACAGCAGGAGCCAAGAAGGCAGTTTGTGTAAAAAAAACCCCACTGGAAATGGCTTGGGTGGGCCCACAAGTTGGGTGTGGGGTAGTCTCAGGGAATCACCAGAGTGATGTGAACAGTGTTAACCAGGTTGATGGAGACTCAGGTATGGCACCTGCCTGACAGCTCCTTGGGGGTCGGGGGTTTCGGAAAAGGAACAATGGCCTCTGCCAGCACTTTTGTCTGGCAGAAAGCTGCCCCTCTATTTCTTGCCCTGATGATAAACAATTCAGTTCCATCCCATACATCTATGATGGCTTTCCAGCTGCTGCCCCAGTGTTAGAACTCACAGGGAGCAAGTCTAAGTAAGTCCATGCACAGACTCTTTAAGAGGAACTGCCTGGGCCCTAAGTGGTTTGGCTCAGTAGATAGAGTGTCAGCCTGTGGACTGAAGGGTCCAGGGTTCAATTCCAGTCAAGGGCATATGCCCAGGTTGCGGGCTCGATCCCCAGTAGGGGGCATGCAGGAGGCAGCCGATCAATGATTCTCTCTCATCATTGATGTTTCCATCTCTCTCTCCCTCTCCCTTCCTCTCTGAAATCAATAAAAATATTATATATATATATGTAAAAATATTATATATTATATATGTAAAAGAGGAACTGCCTGGGACTCCAGCAGCCTATGTCTCACTCAGCCACACTCTCCACTAGTTTTTACAGCCAGAAGTAATGGAGACTTCTCTTCTGGCACTGGAACCTGGGCTTTGGGGCCTGGTGTGGGGCTGGGACCTCCTCTCCTCAGGGGGACCTCAGCAACCAACATATCCCTCCCAAATTATATCCAGCACACACAGGGTGTGGGACCAGCCTATTCTGCATCTCCATCCCTCCTACAAGTCTCAAAATGGTTTCTTCTTTAAGTCCCTGGTTGTAGGACTTCCATTCAGCCGGATGTTAAGTGGTTCTGAATAATGGTTGTTCTGTAGTTTAGTTATAATTTTGATGTGGTTGTGGGAGGAGGAGCGTGCCATGTTTATCTACACCACCATCTTGACCAGAAACCCACCTTTTGGTCTTAAGTATTAAATTTGCTTACTGTGGCTGCCATAACAAGTTCAATGTCCCACCTACAGAAGAAATGCAGAATCACAGAGGCCCTGGGGACCCTGGACTTAGCTCTCCCTCGTTTTGGAGGGAACTGAGCTGTTTCAGCACTGTGAAAAGTACTAATCCCACACGAAATTACTGAAGAACATTCTCGGCAGACAGTTTGTACAAACACCTTTTAAAATCCCTTTTCTATATGTCACTTCCCCTCCCTAGCATGAGACTTACATGCTGTTTTCATACCCTACCTGAAGGAACATAAAAGCAAGATTCAAAGCCTTCTCCCCATAAGCTATTGAAATGCTAACAGAGCATACATTTGGCAAATCTGAGGTATCTAGATTCTAAAAACTGATCTACAAAGTTACCTGTTTAGAAGGAATATATAACCAACTTACTTTGCTGGAATAGGAATTCCATTGGCATCAAAAAGTTTAAGAAACACCCAGCCACAGCTTAATTCTCCTCTTTCACCAGTTGACTAGGAAATAAAAACATAGATGAAACAATGTCTGAAACAGTCAAATTTATTTATTTATTTATTTATTTATTTATTTATTTATTATTTTAAATATATTTTTATTGATTTCAGAGAGGAAGAGAGAGTGAGAATGAGAGATAGAAACATCAATGATAAGACAGAATCATTGACTGGCTGCCTTGAGCCCAAAACCCAGGCATGTGCCCTTCACAGGAACCAAACCCTGGACCCTCCAGTCCGCAGACCAATGCTCTATCCACTGAACCAAACCAGCTAGGGCTGAAGCACATACCAGGTCCTTTTAAAGGTACAAAATTAGTATTCACTTTAGACTAAAAACTCTTCACAAGAAAATAAAGTGAAGCACAGAAGAGTCCCTTTGTACTTGCAGAGCTCATGGTGATATGCAAACCCCTCTGAAAATCTCTACACCTGAGAGGCCCTGGCCAAGTAGCTCCATTGGTTTGAGCATTGTCCCAATACACCAATATTGTAGGTTTGATCCCCAGTCAGGGCACATACAAGAATCAACCAATGAATGAATAAATAAGTAGAAGAAATCAATGTTTCTCTCTCTCTCTCTCTCTCTCTCTCTCTCTCTCTCTCTCTCCCTCTCTCTCTCTCTCTCCCTGACTGATGAGGTGGCAGCTGGTCCTCGAGTCCCCTGAGTGACAGGTGATGGGATGAGCTCAAATCACATTGACAGCACCTGAGGTCAGGAAGCCTTGTCACCCTTGCAGATAAATGAACAAGTTAAGTCATTCAAGGGTCTTTCCTGCTCAGAACTTTGCCCAACTGTTAACTGTCAGAGGCCACTGGGGGACACTGGGGCCCACTCGGGGACCTGCTCCACTCCTGTCCTATCAACACTACACAGATGGATGGGTTTGCCTTAAGAAATTAAAGGACGGTGTAAGACCACCGATGTAAGAACAGTGGGCTCTCTGGGTTATCATGATGCCCAGTATATATACTACACCTTTCAAGCTATTAGACTATGGAGACATAAAACTACTATCACAGACCCACACCCACTGGTTCAATAGTTTAAATGATGTTAAACTAATCCAAGTTCCTGGTGTTCCCTTTAAAAAATCACCACTCTGCCAGGTCCCTTAATTTGAACCCACATTCACGAGGCTAAGTGCCCTCTGCCTCTAGGACAGAGGGAAACTGCTGTGCTGGAACGCCACCAACATCTACCACTTTCTGCAAAGTCCCATCCTTTCCACATCTTCATTCTTCAAAAGCATTGGAGTTCACTCAAGCTATAAATGTAAACAAATACACTCTTATCTATTAGTTTATTTTTAATTTTTTTTCCTGCCCAATATTTTTCCCTTTTCTTCACTACTATGATAACCTCACTTTTTTTTTCAAGGAGGGAAGGGCAATATGCCCAGCTAAAATATACTTCCTTTTCAGCGAGGGGTGGCCATATGTCCCTCCTAGCTATTGAGATACAGATGAAAATTTTGAGCAGAGCCTCAGGAAATTATTTTATGGGAATAGATTGCTTTGTTGTTGCTGTTTTTCACCTTCTAACCTCATAGTAATATTTAGGACTATAGGTAATAGCGGTGGAATTGTGGCATTCTTCATTTATATTATCTGCCAGATAACCCTTAGAACTTGAGATATGACTGTTGCCACTGTTTAGTTTCAACATATATGCAGCATATACCCTATTTGAGGTTGTTTTGCTTCTTTGAAAGAGGGTTGTGTTTTTTTCTTTCGGTCACAAATCACTACACAGTAGTAAGGTTTTCTGGTGTTGCACAGAATACACCACATTTTTTTTTCTTTTCACCTTCCCACCCGCCACCCCTGGCAACCACCAATCTGTTCTCTGTATCTATGAGCCTGTTTGCATATTTTTAGATTCCATGTATAAGCGAAATCATATGTTATCTGCCTTTCTCTGGCTTATTTCACTTAGCATAATGCCCTCAAGGATCATCTATGTTGTTGCAAATGTCAAGGTTTCATTCTTTTTTATGGCTGAGTAATATTCTGTTGTATATATTATCAAATCTTCTTTATCCAATAGTCTATTTATGAGCACTTAGGTTGCTTCCATATCTTGGCTATTGTAAATAATGTTGGGATAAATACAGGGATACATACATCTTTTCGAAATAGTGTTTTGGATTTCTTTAGATTAAATACCCAGAAGTGAAACTGCTGGGTTACATGGTAGTTCTATTTTTAATTTTTTGAGGACCCTTCATAATGTTTTACATAGTGGCTACACTAATTTACATTACCACCAACAGTGCATGAGAGTTCCCTTTTCTCCACATCCTCACCAACATTTTTTGATAATACCATTAGCAATTATCTTTTTGATAACACCATTCTGACAGTGGGAGATGATATCTCACTATGGTTCTGATTTGCATTTCCCCAGTGATTTGTGATGTTGAGCATCTTTTACACTTTAATTTTAAGTGCTACTGAATAAGCAGCACTATATATAAAATTAAAATCACTGCCATTCCCATTCCTCAAGGATTAAAATTCTATAACAAATATCTCAATTATTTTACTTGTAAATACAAGCTTTTAAAAAATCTTCCCTTTCAACTGATACATGAGAAAGCCTTATTTGTTAACTGACATACATTACGAATATAAGAAATTCCAAGTTCAAATAATATTCCAAGATCGGGAGATGCAGAATTGGACCTGATAAAACAATCACCATCAAGCAAGCACGGCAAGGTCCCAGTAACCTGAAACAATAAGAAAACTAAAGTCACCAATAAAAATTCAAACTGGGGGGAGTGTTCAGCTCCATTCACCTGTAAATGCTTCATGACCTTGTAGCACAGTAAAGGTCTCTTACAGGAAACAAAAAGCAGATGCACTGGACTCATCTGAACCAATGATTTGAAATGTAAAACTTTAACTTTGTGTTAAAGGGAAATAACTTTACGTTCACGTTCACTTACCCTTTCCTTAGAGAGGCTAAGTAAAACAAGTACTACACCTACACGCCCAGAGGTGTGATGGATGTCATTTGCACATATACCATCTTTATAGTGGCCACAGTTCCTTGTGAACAGAGCTAAAATTAAAGACTTCATACACACGTTGGTATGTGAGCCCTGTGAATTTCCCTTTGCTCATTCTCCTCCCTCTCCTGGGACAACCACATCCCTCTTTCCTGCCAATAAAACCCCACCATCCTTCAAGGTCTAGTTCTCCCTCCTCTGTGCTTCCACAGCACAGGAGGCCCATAACTGCTACATTCTGCCATTGAGACAGTTCCCAATAGTACACACCCCGTAGGGTGCTCTAAGGATTCCATGAGATAAAGCACATGGTTAGGGCTCCACAAATAGAGAAATTGTTATTATATGTGCATAGGTTTCTTCCCCAGCACCATGTAAGTTCCCTCAATACCTAGGAAAGGTGCCTTGTACCTCACAGATGCTTAATTTCACTCAACATACTTATCCTTCCAAACAGTTCACTCTATATCAGAAAACATTAGAAAACTCTACTCCAAACTCTTCACATACACAGACACGCCATAACAGGACTATGAAGTGTTGTGCCAAAATACCAGCAGGAGGGAGCTTAGGGGATCGCAGGGCCTTTCAGGAGTTGTACTCCAGACACGTGTGCACACACAGCACACAGCTTTAAGGTCTTTTGATGCCATAAGAGGAAGTTAATGAAGGTTCTTAAGGTGCAGGGACACACGGGAACTAGTGTGGCAGGGAAGTAAATACTAAAGCAATGAAAATGTGAGGGAAGAAAAAAATTTAAGTGAAATAAACTACATGATCCTAAATATGGTTACATATTCATGTACATATATTTAAAGAGAGAGAACGAAGAAAGGAGCCTTGACAGCTGTCAGCTGGGAGCTGGGTTGGCCCCACAGGTAGGCCATGGCTTCTCCTACTGAATGTAAGCTACGTATTCCACAGAACACCAGCTTTAGAACAGACTTCTCTGTGACTAGGATGGAGCAAGACAGAGACAGGACCACTTTATAATCATGTCTCAACACAGACAAAAAAAAAAAACATTAAAAAAAATGATCAAACATGGCACTCTCCCAGCTAACGTCAGTGACTGCATTCCCTACCAAATAGAGTTTTATTTTTTTAAATTTTTTTTCCTTTATTGAATAAGATATTACAAATGTGTCCTTATCCCCCCAATGTCCCCTCATCCCCCCAATCCTGCCCTCACCCTCTCCCCCTGTTGTCCACATCCATCGCTTATGCTTATATCCATGCATACAAGTCCTTTGGTTGATCTCTCCCCCTCACCCCCACCCTCCCCTA